GAGTATATTTGACCTGAGCACCCATTAAGTGTAGTCATCCCTTCTCTAATCCTACTGCTCTTCCATATTCTCTGAGAATCTTTGATAATAAGGAGCTTATAGTCTCATAAAATAGTCTCTTTCACTGTGAAGACACTTCTCACTTAGGATACTTCATTATAATGACCTGAAATCCACCATTATTCTGTCTACTAGAACAACCTAGAATCAATCCACAAGTCAATCCAAAAATTTTCTTTCTTTACATTGCTTATCTTTATTTCTTATCTTTTTTTTTGAGTTTATTTTTCCTTTTTCTCCTGAAAGCCCCCTGGTACATAGTTGTGTATTTTTAGTTGTGGGTCCTTCTAGTTGTGGCATGTGCGATGCTGCATCAGCATGGCTTGATGAGCAGTGCCATGTCCGCGCACAGGATTCGAACCAGTGAAAACCCTGGCCGTCAAAGCAGAGCGCACGAGCTTAACCACTCGGCCACGGGGCAGCCCATATTTCTTATCTTTATCTAGACATCTGTAGCTCCTTCAGCTGTGTCTCCACATAGTATTGTGTCCAGGCAGTTTACTATTCTGACTGACTTCTAATTGTAAAATAACATATCAGTGTTTTACTCTTAAATTGTAGTGACAATAACTGAACACATGACCCCCGATGTGGTTTTATCAATAAACGTGTCTCCAAGACCTTTATCCAAATTGTTTAAAATTGAGGAAAAGAAAGGGCCAAACACAGACTTCTATGGCATTCTTCCAACATTCACCCTTCATGCTGACTGGAATCCACCACCAACACTGGCTGTAGTGGCTTCACCAGACGGGATTCTTCCTGGTTGCGTGAACTCTTGTCCACACTTCTCCATTTTACTGCTTAAAATATCATTAACAACTGTCAAATGACTCCTGAAATCTATATACACTCAATACGTTCAGAGAATTTTCTTTATCTACTAAGCTGGTTAACCTACCCAAAAGGTAAATTTGGTTATTTTGTCGTGGCTAAGGCTTACCCTTCATTTCTCTCAACCTTCAAACTAAAAATTCAGATATACTTCCTACCCTTCTAATATAGCAGTTGCTGAGAAAAAAGAATAAAGAATTATGATAGTTAGGTATAGGCAAAAATATAGAATAAAAGAGTTAACGTTTTTGCATAGATTATTTGAGTTTTCCAACTCAAAGTTTTCAAACTTTGAGAAAGAGGAGATGATTTGACTTATTTTTGGAGGATTTGCCAAGTGATGAGACTGGAGCATTCGAAACATGAAAGTTCAGCAGGTAGGAGAGGTGGTTACAGAACACGTGTGCCCAAGGGAATGTACTTTTTAGTTTAACCTGTATTTTTAAGTTCTTAAAAATATGGCATGATATTATCTGGAAAACCAAAATAAAAGTACATGAAACTTTTCAACAGGGATATGAAAATATGCCACACTCCTAGTACATTGGAGAAACTAAAATAAACCAATGTTTCTTACTTAATAGCCCAGGGAGTGGTTTATTCATAATGTGTTTTAATTCAAAAAGGAGAAGTGGTAAAATATTTTCACTCCTCAGAAGGTAGTAATCAATTTGAGGGAGAATGATTTTTTAATGAATGTGTTAAAAGCCAACTCTCCAAATAAGGAACATTTAGAACTGATGAAAAGACTCTAGTTCAACACTTTCTGAGTACTTACTATGTACTAAATATGATCCTGTAACGTAAGCAGGGATCAATATAAAATAGTTCCTGCATTCATATGAGTTCTCTGGAAATATGTATGGGAAAAAAAAAGAAATTTGTTCATGGCTTGAAAGTGAATAGAGGGAATAATTTTAGCTGTGACCAGCCAAATAGTTAAATCAGCTATTGCAACCACAATGATAAATATGGGGTCTACAAATAGCTGCTGATGTTTCCCAACTCTGTGCCTCCATACGTGTCTCACTCTACTTGGAATGCACTTCTCTTTTGAGATAGTTACAGCATATTATTCCACAAATTATCTTGGTATCTCCATCACCATCCTTCCATCTCCATCTGGATTGGGTGATTTCCCTTTAGATTTACATAATATTTTATATATATATGTCTCTCATATAAATTTATATAATTATATTTTAAACTTACTTCAATGTTTGTTTCCTCCCATAATGTATAAGCTACTGGAAAGCAGCAATTCTATTTTATTGAATTTTAAATCACTGGTAGCTAACATAGTCCCTGGTGCATAGCAAGCGATAAATAAATATCTTCTAACAAAATGAATAATATATAAATCTGTATAGAGAGACCTTTTGAGGTTATCCTTCCCCTAATTACACTTGTCCCTTTACTATCATTTTCTGGCATTAAGAAAGGCACATAATGATGTTACAAGATACAAATACACACATCTCCAAAATAATATACATAACTATATAACAAATATACATATATGTATATTTCACACTTATATGCATATATATTATGTATGTACATGTGTATATGTAATATATATAGTTAAATGGTTATATAGTTTCTATATTGTACTCAAAAATAATAAATGATTGTGTCACCAAATTTCAGTATTTTTATATAGATGTTCTATATCATTTTAGAATGAGTTATAAGGAATTAGCTATGAATACTTTCCCTACTAATGAAAATGCTCATTAGAATAAACCGCACTACAAGACAATTTATAATATTTAATTTGCTTGATGGAAATCGATGAGTTAAAGAGATAAACCTCTTATTCAAAGCCACGAGAATTATGAATATCTGAATTTCCAGAGGTTTGTGATTCATATTTAAATGTATGTCCCAGAAGCTAGCCCCAGTATAAAACAGTTTCTGGCAAGAGACTGACTTTTTTTCCAATGAATAATTTAAAATGCAACTTTTTCCATGTGAATTGTCTTATGTCTTGGCAGTGGCATAGTATTTCAATAATTTATACAATTTTGAATATAATATAGTTAATGCCATGAAAGCAATTTCTTTGATATTGAATTATAAAAGAATGCACTTAGGCCACTGTGACTAATGATCTAGGGGCCAGCAACATGGCAAATTACCTTTTAACTGAATTTTAGAGAGATTTGTGCATGTAACCGTAGGACTGTACTGAGAGCTCCTGGGATACAGTTGCATGAAAACACTGGGTTGTTACATTTAAAAAATGTAAATAAAGCATTCTCTGTGAGAAAAATAGATAAAGAAACATGATGATAAAAAATATGTAAATGATGAGTATTTTAGGGAGAGCAAAATATTAATGTGAATCATGTTTTATTATTTAAATTCCTGAATAAAATCTGTTCTTCGTCTATTTCTTAAGGCAGAACTCTAGTCACTGGCGACCTAATCATGGTCATTCCATGACAGGTGAGCAACCACACAATGTGCAGCTTTTATAAGAAACCGAGCAATATAATGTGAAAATGGATTCCTTGAGTCTTCCAAGGCTATTGAACAGGCTGAGGGCTTCCCAGGATGTAGGGCAGAGATGGCGAGATTATGGCTCCATTACACAATCCAGAGTACACAGGGTTATAGCTTATGGTGAGGATTTTGTACACACATAAATCTATGGGAACTCTTTGCTTTCATAGACCATGTAGATTTCTACATAATGACAATCTTCCAGCACAGGATGATCACGTGTCTTCTTCAGTAAGTGGCAAATTTTTCTAATTCCCTTAATGGCATCATTTCTGTTGGTGCCAGGATAAGTCCACAAATATTTTTATGCATTTTTATGGTACCAAAAAATGGAAAAAGTCATGGCAAACATCTGGCAAATCTGGACTTCCGTTTTCTAAATGGAAATTATCAGTGATAGCCGCCCTCTTTTTTTTTTAATTTTTTTTTTTTTTGAGGAAGATTGGCTCTGAGCTAACTGCTGCCAGTCCTCCTCTTTTTGCTGAGGAAGACTGGCTCTGAGCTAACAACCATGCCCATCTTCCTCCTCTTTATACGTGGGACACATGCCACAGCATGGCTTGCCAAGCAGTGCCATGTCCCCACCCGCGATCTGAAGCGGTGAACCCCGGGGCTGTTGAAGCAGAACATGCGCACTTAACCACTGCCCACCGGGCCAGCCCCACCGTCCCTCTTTAGACTGGTCCTCTCCACCAGGCCCGATCACTCCCCATGTATACATACCTGCATTACTCATATGTTACTTATGCATTGTTTTAGGTATCTTAGTTTTTCACACAAGTAATCAGGTCTTTGATCCTCATGGGAAGTTTTCTCATATACCTTTGGAGTCTCTCTTTTGTTCCATTGTCTGTCTTGATACCAATGCCACACTGTCTGGATGCCAAAGCTACACTTGTAGCTTTATAACTGTAAGTGTTGCAGTCAGTTAGTGTAAGTCCTCCACATTTCATGATTCTTTTCCAAACCCCGCTCAAACCTGGTGATTTTAAACAACTGCAATTATGTATTTTACTTAAAATACTATAATTTGAACATAACACTTGGAGTCTGACTGGGGTGGCTAGAACAGTTAGGGCCTAGAAGTGTTGGGGTGCTTGCTAGGCTCTCTTGTGCTCCTGTTATCTCAGAACTTCTCCATGTGGGGTCCCCATGTGATGTCTCCAGGTGTACTCTCCAGCATGGGGCCTCCAGGGGGGTCAGACTAATGACACAGCAACTCAGACCTCCAAGACTGAGTGTTCCAGGGATCAGGGCAGAAGACAAATGGCATTTCATGATCCAGTCTTGGAAGCCATATGGCATTACTTCTTTCCCAGCTCTACGATTTGAAACAGCTAGGTGCCTGCTCAAATTCAACTGAGGTGAGGGGAGTATGAGGACCTCTTTGTGATGGAAGAAGTGTTAAAGAATTTGGGGCCATGTTATAAAACTGCCACATAAGCCAACTAACAAAAAAGTAGGTGAGTAGGTGAAAGAAGAAATTGGGGACCAGATATGGAGAACTCTGCCTCATGACAGCCCCCACCCCTGCCAACCAAAAAACGTCATTAAGCTCACAGTCCATTACACATAACAAATGTCCAAAAAATACCAACCTTGCTTTAAGTATCCTTTTGTTAGACGTGTTTCCAAAGTGAAAAACAAGAGAACCACAATGCTCTATTTTGAATCCTTCTCCAAATACCTTCTAGCTCAGAGGACATATGTCTCAAAGAAGGAGACCCTCTTTGTGTTCAGCCAAGGCTTAAGCACAGTTCCCTGATGAGCTTGTTGGACCGCATGGAAGTCTCTGGAATCTATGTAAAAATACATGCATAAAAAGACTGCCATGACACGCATGAAACTATTAATAGTGATTCTCTTTGAATGGTAGTATTATATTAAGTTGAATCACATGAAATTGCCGATAGCCATTTGTTTTTAACCTAACAAAGGGCAATTTTAGATGTTTCAACCTAATAGATGACTTTGAGTTTTTCTTCCTCATTCTTTATCTATTTCTCCACATTCTTTTCAATATGTGTGTAGTGCCTTCACAATTAGGAAAATAAATGCTATATACAAAGAACAAAGAAACCCGAGTACTTCAGAGAAGGCATTATTTTTCTGACTGCCCCAAAATGACACATCTTCTCTGCAAGTACAAAAAACAGCATAGCAGCCTTTGATAAAAAAATCTGCTAAAATACATTTATAGAAAGCTGAGCCTAACAAGGAAAATTCATATTGAACCGGAACAGGCTTACCTCATGAAATCAGGAGCCAGGTGTTACATTACAACTCTATGAGTCCAAGGGTAGACATTGGGCTCTCTCGTGTTTTAAAAAACACTAAAGCAAGCTTTTAGCTATGGGAAATGTTTGCAAAGAAGGCAGCTGGGTTCTAGCATGTCACAGCTGGGCTATTTCCTCTTGTTTATGTGGAGAATAGTTCACTGCCAAGGGTGAGGCAAGACAAGTGCAGCCGGGCCATTCCCGAGGGCATTTGCTGGCACGTTTTCAAACAGAACAGTGGAGCTGGCCGCCAGGTTTATGGGAAACATGACTATACTGAAAGAAGGTACCTGCTTTCCTTAAGACAAATTCCTGGAAGGGGAATCATTGGCACACTGGGCTGGAATTTTTTGAAGTTCTTAAAGTATACTGCCAAATGGTTTCCAGGAGAAAGCTCATTGTTAATTCTTAATAAAATGTTACCATGACTGCAGGTTTTGAAGGTAGAGAGTTTGCTCCTAAGACTTCTGCCTCGCTGGGTATGGACACTTACGTTTCTGTGCTCTAAGGTATTTCAGTTGTGGTGTGCTTCCTGTGTGTTTTGTAACTATTTTCTGCTAGGCAGAAGGGTGAATTAAGCAGGCATCGTCGATTCCCTGTGATACACAACGCTGCTCTAAGTGCGCTCCAGCTTCCTGCTGTTGCTGCTGCTGCCTAAGGGGGTAGCTGCTATTATGGTCCTGATTTTAAGCAGTGTTTTATATCTTTGAACCATCCAAGTAAGTGAAGCTGCAGCTCGCCTGAGTTACAGCAGGGATTTGCACTCTGGGGTGTAAACACTCATGTGTAGAGGCCAGCTATTGATCCTGTAGCCAAAAGGAAGCAAAAATGAAAATCCTTGTAGTCCAAAATATTGAAACTCTTGTGTAACAATGTTGTATTTTTGCCTTCAAAATGTTTATATAGCAGGTGAGAAAGTTGCCTTCAATCACAAATTTTTAAATCATTAAATAAACGTTAAGCTACCAAAACCTATCATCTCTAAATCAGTAGCTTTTATTCTTTTATCTCATTTAATCCTCATGTATACTAAGCCTTGTTAATATAACCTCTATACATATGGTTTTGTATGTGTATTTATATGTATTTCTTTCACCATGGAAAACCTGTGTAGCAAAAACCAGTGCCTTCCTTCAATGGGAAAACCTGTCGTAAAATTTAGAGATTACTTGCTTTCTCTCATCCCACTGATGCATAATACATGTATTAGGTAGTTCAGGTAAGATGGAGAGAAGGGGAAGAGAGAGGGAAGCTATTTCCACTTTGGTTTTTTCCATAACTCCATCCTGTAACGTTTGTCCCTCTCAGATGGTCACTTTCTTCTCTCCATTGCTGATTGTGTTGCTCATAGCCATGCACAACCAATTCTGGGCTTTCCCCAGGGAAAATAACACGGAGGGAAAAAGCTGCCCCTGACACCTTCCTCCCTCCAGTGTGGAGCCCTCTCCATGGAGCCCTCTCGACCCAGCACGCTGCTCTCAGGAAGGATGGAAGTGAATGCAAGCTCTGAAGGCACCATCTCTTGTAGGGATAGCAGCATTTAATGTTACGCTCTTGAAGGCAAATCAGGGCTCTGAGGATCTGAAGGAGGGTCTAATTACAGTGGAGATCTTAAGGAAATAGGAGAGAGAGGTTTATGAAGAGGTTTAGGAGAGAGAGGTTTATGAAGAGGTTTTTTTCTGGTGTCCTGTAAGTTAGTGTCTCCCAAATCTGTAGATTTTGGAGCTCACTCTGTACCTATTGGTGTAGGATCTGTTAAGTCAGCTTTCCCCCAACCCCAGGATTGTGAAAACTCCTCGGATTATGTTGAGGATTAGTTGGGTGAAGGGAACTGCTGTTTTTAGCCATCAAATTCCACTCAAATCCTGTCTGTTTCATAAAGCCTTATCGAACATCAGTATCCTCTCTGATTCTGACTCCATAGGCAGAGTTAGATTTACTACTCTGCGTTCCCAAGACAGCTTGTAGCACACTATCCTCTTTGTAGGATTTATGACTCCATATTACAATTAATAGTGTTAGGTCTTTCAAGTCTTTAGACATGGACTCCTTAAGATTAGTCTCCCTAATCAAGTTGGTACTCAATAAATGTTTGTTGAATGAATAGATGGATAGGTGGATGGATGGATTAAAACAGATCAATGCCTGTTTTTCCCTTTTATATAGCTGACCTGGGAAGGACACGGTAGATTAAGAAAAACTTGGACATAGGTTTTCCAAGAAAAGAAACACACTAAGTTAAGCAACATGATTCAAACTGTGAACTGAAGTCTGAAAGATACATTTTTTTCTCAAACATATTCTTTGCACCCAAAAGTAATTCTGGAATATTCCATGAGTAGGTAATTCGTCAATTTGGCAAGTTTGCATTTATAAGTCACACGAGTATCTTTTCCTGCTATCGCCATCTGAGTGATGTGATGAGGGGAGAAGCCAGAGAAAGCTCTGAAATGTCATAAACTACAAACTCATTTACAGTCTATGAGCTGGAGAAAACAACATTGCTAGTAGGTGCAGGCCAGGAAAACTTCAAGCACCCACAAGCAAACCAATTTAGGAAAAAAAAAAAAAAAAAAGAAAGAATTTTTTCTCTCCATTTGAGCACAGCACCTTTTCCAGGAGGTTTGTTATATAACGGAGATCTGCTTTCCCTTTCTGCGGGCTGGCCAAGGCTGAGAAGAGAGCTGCCAGCCCAGGGAAAGGAAGGCTGTTCTGATACTGCCAGCCATTACCAGAAATGGGAGTGCAGAAAAAGCCAGTTCTCCCAAGATTTATAGTTATGTCTAGCTTGTTGACTCAAGCAGTTTGGAAAATCTTCAGAGACATAGTTTATTCGACCTAACTCAGACTCCAGGTCTGTGGAAAGAAAAGAAAAAGCAGAAATGATATGTACATGCTCTTAGAGTCAAATCCTTTTGACCCTCAATTTACATACTTCTCAAGTAAGATGCTCTAACCAGCACATCAAGTACTGCCTAAGATAGGACAGCCCATTCTATTAAAAATAAATTTTTATGATTATTGTCCAATTATTTCTCTGGGTTAACATGGCTAAAACTATAGTAGGCAATGCAGTAGGAAAATAACCATGCTTTTAAATGAGTTAAAAGGAATATCGAATGCCCAAACTCAGAGAATTCTTGAAAAAAGTCACTGGGACCCTTGGCACCAAAATTACATTTTCACCATTATATCATTCTTGCAGTGGTATGAAATTCTATGGGAAATATTCATTAAGAAGTCAAAGAAATATTAGCTCAGCACATAAAAGAACAATAAACAAATAATTGTTGAATATCCCGAATGTGTCAGCCTTCTTCTAGGTGCTGATGACAAGCTGTGGAACAAAGTAAACAAGGTCCCCACTCGAGGCCTTTACTTGTGTTCTGTGAAGAGGAGACAGACAGTAAACAAGTAAAGAAATAAATACCAATGACAACAGCAGACTGTAAGGAATACCATGACCAAGAAACTACAAGAAGAGGAAGAATGATGGGGACACACGGTTGTGGGTGCAAATGCTTATTTCAACGACACGTGTGTAGAAAAAATCTGTCTTGCTTTAAGATGATCAGTCATCAGTAACACAACGCTTTAAGATGAAATTTTAAGCTTTTAACGTTAACTGAGAAATTCGATGTCCGTGTTTCTTCTTTGTGATAGGTTTTTGGGGTGGAGGAAGTCACTTTGGAGAGGTGAGTCAAGCAGTACACCAAAGAGATGGAATCACTTTTGTTTTTATTTCTTGTTTGGCCTAGTGAACATGCTTGGGGAACAAGTCTAGTGATTGTGTGGGTAATTCAAATAGATATATTAAAACCTTTAAGCATTTTTAGTAATGAGCGTATAGCTTCAGAGAATTAATAGGAAGACACACAGTGTACTTGCCTAGAAAACACTGCTGTGATTTTTACACCCTGACTAAGGAAGCAGGTGGTCTTTGTACCCAGAATATTGCGGGTCCTAGCAGCCTAAAAAATGCCTCCAAATGGATTTGTATGTGCTGTGGTCTTTCAGGTACACTTACAACTTAAGAACTTGATGGGGCATTTAATTGATTCCAATGAGCCAATGCAACTTTCCAGATTCAAATCGTCCATGTCTTGTTTTTACAGTTAAGATAACCGTCAAATACATCCTCTAAAGATTTTCAGTATTATGTGTGACCCGACCTCACATCTCATACAACTTAATATAGGTGTGAACTCCATTCCATTTATTGTTTCTGAAAATCATCTGCACAGACTTTTAATAGGATAAAACGCTGTGCTCATATGATTCCTGTGACATACAGATTAGTCACCCTTAGGTTGACTTCTCAAATTTTTAATGGTTGTGTTCCAGACTACCAGATGAATTCTTGGAAGAAATTTAAGTTAACTCTGTGAAGGTTGCTCATTAAACAAACAAAAACTTATTTATACAGATCAGAAAATACGTACAAGTGAAAAAAAAAAAACAAAATACAAGGCCACACACAAACTTAATTGTACAACATAATGCTAATGGTGAGGAATAATCCAAAATGGTTAGCTGTGTGGAAATCATTAGTATTTGGTTTGAATATGTATTCTAAGATTTTCCTTACTGATGCTGCTCCACACCCTACCTGAGGACACTGATAGACAATGCAAATGAGGGAAGGCAGTTGGGGCAGGTCAGATGGCATAATTTTTGATGAAGATGAAATCAACAAGTGATTTAAATTACCTTTAGGGAATCTAAATCTATAGATACATCTAAATGTGCATCATCCCTCACCATGACATCAACTGATTAGGAGTTGAGGACAAGGTACTAAGTAGTAATTAAATTTGAGGCTCATGAATAATAAGAGGTAAAGCAGGTTATTAATTTGAGGGTCCAAGAGTGATTTCTTTAAATGTATACGAGAATTTTTGAAAACATTTGACTCCAACACAACCTTTAAATCCACTTTCAATCTCTGTTGTTTGGAAAGCTACCAGAGTTCTTCAGCCTCTTTAATTGGTGATACACAGCAGTAAATTAGGCACACAGTTGAAAAGTCTCATATATCCCCAATTAGGGTCCCAATAGGAGAGAGAGATTCTGTGATTTAATATGAAGTCTAGAACTTCTACCTTTCATTGTTTTTATTTATGGTGTCATGATGATGATAGTGATAATAATGTTATAATAATTATTTCCTATGAATTAAACAAATTTACACTTAGAGGAATGACTTATTTCTGTATTACTCTGCTCTAGGTCATAAAAACTTAAAAAATGTGCACAAGAATTCAACATACTCGTTAAAATCCATAGTTTTAATGACTTAAAAATTATTGAATTGATTGAACACATTTGCTCTTTTTTAAACAAATTATTTTTAAGTTAAATTTCTAAATGAAAAGGGTTTGAGGGAGTTTGAAATAAGGTATGTAGAAAAGGAACACACATCTAGGATAGTAAGTTAAGTTATTCAAACTCTCCTCATTTTTCTGTTTTTCTCTGCAAGTGCATAGATATTGGGCATACCATAAGACATGCTGCTGTGTCATTCAGAAAGCTCAATAGAGTCCTTCCCACCTGTGTGCGTGCGTCATTATACACAAACTGTAACCCAAGGACAGCCAACAGAACTGGATGGTCTTAAGGTTCTTGAGACATCACCATTCTTTCCTGCTCTTGGCAACTCAAGTGGAAGCCTCCTTTCTCTCTTCCTTTTTCCCTTAGCTTGATGCTTCCTGGAATCATTCCAAACCCTTTCCCAGTACCATACCTTATTCTGGAGGCAGAGCTGACTATACCTCCATTTCCATGGCCCTACATTGAGGTTATTAATGGTTTTTTTTTTCTCTTACAAATGGTACCACGTTGAATAACTTTGCGCAGAAACTATCCTACGTTGTTCACTTTAAAAGAAAACAAAATTAATATCTGCTGATTTGAACCCAGAAGGCATACCTATTAGACATGTGTTACTCATGTAAAATGGGAATGGAAAATATTTGTCTTCTCTTAGTTACTTACCTATCTGCCTCTCTCTTTTTTTTTTAAAGATTTTATTTTATTTGATTTGATTATTTTTTTTCCTTTTTCTCCCCAAAGCCCTCCAGTACATAGTTGTATATTCTTCATTGTGGGTCCTTCTAGTTATGGCATGTGAGACGCTGCCTCAGCATGGTCTGATGAGCAGTGCCATGTCCGCGCCCAGGATTCGAACCAACGAAACACTGGGCCACCTGCAGCAGAGTGAGCGAACTTAACCACTCAGCCACAGGGCCAGCCCCTCTGCCTCTCTCTTTTAATTTTAACTTCCTTGAGGGCAAGGATTGTGCTTTGAAATTTTTGCATTTCCTATGAGTCCAGAATTATTCCTTCCATAATCCTCAGTAAAGTTTGAAGTCTTAAACTGAATATGCAATGCCTTTGAATATTCACCAAAGCAACACCTGTTTTTGCCTCCACAAGCTACAGTGCATGTGGCAGATTTCGTTGGCCCTCTCCACACACAGCATCTGCTGCCAACAGGTGATGCATTCTGGGGAGAAGAGCCTTGCCATAGGGATTTTCTCTTACTAACATCCTTTTTCCAGATGTTTCTTCCCTGTAGCATATCCTGAATTATGAGGCCCCAGGAGGCGATTGCAATCACTGAGATGACATGTCACACCTGGAATTCAACACTCATTCCCCACCATACAATTTCCCATGGTTAAATGTCAAATCTAAGTTTATTGCTAAGGGACTTGGTTGATTCTCTGTGAATTCAAATATTGTGCTTAATATTATTTTACCACTCATGTTTACCACTTTAAATATATATAGATGCATAAAGATGAAACTAAACTATATTAAGATCAGATGGAATTGACAAAATAATTTAATTTAGAGGATAGAATGCATGGTCTTATGGCACTCCATCATTTCTCTTAGATATACACACCCAGTCCAATGTTGAATCAGTTATATATTTGAAATATATTAATAAACCAGCCAGACTAGACTGATCTCTGTGCACTGTCTTCTATATAAAAGAAGAGAGCACTATATAAGTTTTTTTTAATAGTAAGCTTTGGTTTAAACATATCTGTGTATGTGTATATGTATATACATGCATACACCTGTATATATATATATATATTTCATCGTTTCCTATGTCAAACCTACGCCTACATCCACAGACCCAAATGCTATTTTTATTTAATGTTGTGAGTTTATTTTTATTAACTCTCCTATTCACCAGTAAGTCATGCATATTTTTCTCTACTTTCCTCCTAGGGTATTTTAATGTCTTTATTTCTGTTCTGTTTCAGTTAAGCTAAAAAAAGAATCTTCTGTTTGGAATGGTTTATTTTTTCTTATTTGCCTGAGAAGAGCTCGCTGAAGAGTTTAATGATAATATGTTTTAAATGCCAATTAAAGTATGTCATTTAGAAACAGTTACAATGGTATATCACTTAGGAATAAGCCTTTTCCTCAGTCATAGCAACAGTTACATATAATTGAATACTTTATATTTGTAATCAAATCATCCTAGATTTTCTTGTAGCAGAGTTTTGGTTCCATTAAAAAATCAAAGATGATATTCGAAGTATGGATAATTTAATTTATCCTTATGACAGATTTTAGTTACTGTTCTTTTAAATAACTGTGAAAACATATCTCTTGCATAAAGAAACCCTAAGAATGGAACAATTAAAAGAATTCCAGTCAAAACGCATATTTTTCTAATAATTATCAAGGTGTCTAATTGCCATTTATTTAGTTTTGACCAGGAACTTCAACATACTATAATTTTTATATAGTAAACCAAAACTTGTGGCACAGGCCAGTCATATACCATACGGAAATGATGCTCCCAGAGCTATTTTAAGGCATGGTAAAGAGCAGTACTGAAATTAGATTCAGACACTATACACGTGTTTTAAAACATCTAATAAGAATAGCTAACAATAATGCCAGGTGCTTTTCTAAGTCCTTTGACAAATAATCAGTTATGTAATCCTCACAGCAGCTCTATGGGGTTTGTGCTATTCCTGTCTCCAGCTTTCGGGTGAAGACACTGAGGCTGAGAGAGAGAAAGTAACTTGCCCCAGACAACACAGCTAACCAGTGGAGAACACAGGGTTCATATCCATGCTGTTAAGGATTGAATGAGACCATTTGGTCTTTGAGAGAATATGGACATTTTCATCCTCGAAGTTAATTTACGGATTTTCCTATCCAGCATTCCCAAAGTGTATTCCATGATCACTAATTTTATCAAATGCTCTGTGACAAAAGCTCCTACAGTCTAATACACCAGAAAAAAACCACAATACAATTATTTTCCTTTTCATTCTTGGAGATTTATAGTCTAAAAAGCCATAAAAAACGTTCTAAGAAATCCCAAAGTGAAGAGATCTCTTTCAACCAGTGGTTTCCAGTCATCATTAACAGGAAAACTCATATTGAACACACCTTTCACAGCCCTTAGAATTTGTGGTCCTTAGAACATAAATATTGAGAAAGTCCAGCCCTGCTATTTGGCAGGAAGAAAATTGAGGCCCCGAATGTCTTTGTGACCCTGAAATCTTACATCCCAATTCTGTGTATGTTTTACCTCACTCAGCGATTAGATCAGCATGTAGGCATGGCTCCTCTGCTATTTTAAGTTTCTTCAGATTTCCATTTTTATTTAATCATTTCAACAGGAGAACCATCATTATAGTGAGGATACATGGGTGAAACAGACAGATGGCTATATCCTAGTTTACTTAAGGCAAAGTAGTCACAATAAAAATCCAAGCAATATTCAAACTATTTGTTATCAAATAGTCCATTTATCCTGAAATAGTTAATGGCTGAAAATTATAGAAAATAAAAACAATCAACAAAGAGAAAACTCCAGAAGAGTCCTGAGGATCTGGAGAATCTATTTTTTAGATGATGACCATAGGCCATAATTACATTTCACCACCACGGCTTTATTGCATGGTATCATGGAGTTTAACAGAATTTTATATATTTCTTTCTGACCACTGCACGTTTTGCCATTTCAGTTCCTCCGAAGATATATGACATCTCAAGTGATATGACCATCAATGAAGGAACCAATGTCACCCTCACTTGTTTGGCCACTGGGAAACCAGAGCCTTCCATTTCTTGGCGGCACATCTCCCCATCAGGTAAAGCAGAAATACATCTGTGTTGTTTGTGCTGTTCAATATTCTCCTGTAACCTCATCTGTTCAGAACTGAAGACTCAACTTATGTTTGTACATCTTTTTCATGAGGTAGGCAGGATGCATATTGTTACACTTATTCTTTACGTCTAAAGGCATTGTGCTTCACAAAAGTTAAATGAACATTTTCTGTCAGAGCCCAGAATAGAACCTATGTCTCTTGATTCCTAGTCAAGGTTATTTTCACTTTAGTATCCTGGATAATCACAAATCAACAGACAAAAGGCTCCAGTGGAAATATCGCAAGAGAAATATCTTCATTTAAATGTGTAAGGCTTTTCTTCAATTGGCATTCACATGTTAATAGGCCAGCATGAGCTGCTAAGGTAATCAGGGAGAATGAAATTATACAAATTATGAGGTTGATGGGTCTAATTTCAAAGTGCAGTTCAGAATCAAGGGTTTGGCAGTGAGAATTAAATTTTAACTGATGAAGGATCTAAAAACCCAAGAGTTCCAGTAACTTGTACAAGATCACATAGGTGAAATTAAGGAATATGACATGTTTATGGATTTCTGGTGCTTTTGCTACAGTGCACATCCTCCTAAAGAGATTAAGTCACCTTTAGGAAGTTGGGGATAATCATTATCAAAACAGATTTTCACAGGCACATTTTTAACAGAATCATCAATTTGTGTAAATTTTAAATATTTGAACTACATAGTTTTGGGTATACCATGGAAGTAAGAGAGGTGCTTTTAATGACTAGAACCCCCCCAACCACTTCAGATGAATTAAATTTGATGTGATTTGTTTTGTATTTTTGGTGGAAATGGCACCAAGAAGGCTAGAGGGATGAAACTGCTTTTAAAGAAATCAGAAGGCACATTTTATGTAGGCGTAGAAAGAGTACAACTGGAACATCTATTTTATCCGCTAATGCTTTCTTTCATATCCCTTATCCTTAAATGTCTTTCAGTTTCCTCATTTATGCAGTGAGTCTAATGAGACTTACTCACATTATATGCTTAGTATTACTATTAATGTGAGAAAAAATCAATATAACAGCAGTATACACTTATATAATATGCATTATGGCCCCTATAATATTTCTGAAGCATGAGGGTGCTCTTGACTGCCAGCACTTCACTCTCTGGAGCAGCTACGGAATCATAAAACTGGTGTGTGAGCACTGAATCCATGGAAGGCTCTGCATGGGGTGTAGGAGAGGCAAAGTGGACTAGGAGTTAGTACACACATGGTCCTCTCAACTTCCCTCTTCAGCAGCCCAGCCAATGCTCGTGCAAATCTCTTAGCCTCAGTCACCTTCAGCTAGTTTCCTACTTTCCGAAAATCGAATGATTGAAAAACCCCTGGCTATTGTGAGTCTCAAAAAAGTTAATAGACATAAATATGCTTTAATAAGTATAGGTGATATGCAAATATAAGCTGAGTCTTAATCATCTTTCCAGGGATTTAAATCTGATATGGCAATATAATTTTTGTAAGAATGAAGCACATAATCTCCATCTTCTTATAATTTAAGATTAATATTTTGGACTTACCTCTCCTGCTTTGCAATGCTTGTTATTATGCATATTCTTCTTTTTTAAGTGCTTGGGTACATTTCAGTTTAATTAAATAGCACGAATGTTGGTTAGTGAAGTTATTAGGATAAGGATAATGGATAACATCATGAAGCTGAAAGAAGACAGATTGAGTTTATAAGTTAAACTGTGCATAGATTTGTTTTTCTGATCCTACCATACAGAGCAAATGAATAAAATTAGCATAAATATTAACTATTATCCAGTGAATAGCTAGACATGGCTGATATTTTTATAAATGCTTCCAATAATTTCAAATTATAATTTGTTAATGATCTATATTCAAATGCACAGCACTGTGGAGTTTCTGCTTTGTGTCACATGTCTGGTAATTCTATTACCGTCCTTCAGCTTATATATTTATGCTTTTAAACATATGTTTAAAAGCAAAATTATAAACTTCATTGATCCGTCTATATTTTACCTAAGAAATATCAATATTGTGCATATTCTTCTCTTTTCTTTTGCTATATCAGGAAAGAAAATGTGTCTCAAAACAGCAATCATTGTGTGAACAATGTTTAATGTTACAAACAGATATAGATATACTTCCTGTCAGTATTAGAAGCAATGGCTAGTTTTTGTACATATGTGATTTGTTTAGAATTTTTTACCGGTACCTTTGGTAATCTTGCTGACTCATTCATGATCTATTCAAGTTTTAAACGTCGATAAAAAATGGCTGGTCATAGGATGATAGCTCCACAGAGCTTCTCCCTAATCTACAGAAAAATTAGGTTGAATTCAACCACATCGCAAACATCACCTGAGTCTGTTGGAGTTGACTTTCCACTTGTGTACTCAGTGTACTTTCCCTGAAAACATCTTTCTTGAGAAATTTCTGGGTATATGAGTTTCCTTAAAGTTCACTCGTACTAATGATTTCTTTCTGTATTTTTCATTCTGTATTTGGGAATTATTTTCAAACTGATGTTAAAAACTGTTACAGGAATAATACAAAGAACATCCCATATCCTTTACTCAGTTTCATTCATCATTTTTCATGTTAGTTTCAACATTTGCTGTGTATAGAGCATATAAAAATATATATATATATGTTTTTTTCACTGAATCATTTGAGGACAACTTGCATACATCATGCCCTTTTCTCCCTAGTTATTTCAGTGGACATTTCTAAAGAAAAAGGACATTCTCTTATATAAGCACAGTGCAGTTTTCAACTTTTGTACATTTAACATTATATCATACTTTTATCACATTACTGTACATATTCCAATTGTGTGAACTGGTCTGATAGTGTTTTTTTTAGAATTCTTTTCCCTCTAGTAGAGAAGCCAAGCATTGTATTTGGTTGTCATATCACTTTAGTCCTCTTTAGTCTGGAGACTAATTCCGTAGTCTTCCTTTGTCATTATTGAACATTGACATTTTTCAACAATGAACATACCTCTTTTTTTAAAGTAGAGTATTTTTTCATTAGGGGTTTAACTCATGTTTTCTTAGAATTAGATTCCAGTGATGCCCATGTGGGACTAAACAAGTGAAGTTGTAGCTTTCCCAGGAAATGATACCCAGAGGCACAGGGTATCCATCTGTCCCTCATTTGATGTTAATTTTAATTACCCAATCCAGTTATCTGATTTCTGCCTTGTATAGTTCATTTTCCTTCCTTATGCACCAATAAGCAGTAGGAAGAGATTTCAAGACCGTAATATGCAAATACCTGCTACTCAAACTTACCCTTAGATTTGGCATGATCACTGATACTATTGTGAACCAATCTTTACTCTGATTACAAAATGCTGATTTTTCTATCTTCAGCAATCCTTCTCCTTTTACCAGTTAGCACTTGGCATTCTACCATAAACAAGAACTTCACTTTCCCCTATTTGTTATTTATTTATTTGTTTGTTTATCTGTATATTTATTATGGCAGAAAGACTCATGGGTTTCCAACTTTTTATAATTGTTTATAATTCATTACTGTCTTTAATTATTTTGATGCTCACATTGTTCCTGATTTGGTGAGTGGGGGTTACTTCATTCTGACTCCTGTGTTCTTATGATATGCCCCTACCATTTTTTTTTTTTTAGCACTTTCATACTTTCTGGCCTGACAAAATATGCAAGACTTATCTTGTGTCATTCCTGTCCCATCTCTGGAGTCAACCATTTTACTTTACTTCAAATGATTAGATGTTGTACACTTGGAGTTAAAACCATTACTGGCTTAAAATATATAACTCTGTTGATCTGCCTTATAGTAAAATTGTCAGAGACTCAGAGATCTAGGGTGCTTCCTATGATATTTTCTCAAGCACTGCACCTTAAATAACTTCAGTGCAAGGGATGGATCATATTTCGTTTGGTTTTGTCTAACAAGCCTAGAACAGGGCCTGGAGCCTGGTGCGTCTACAAATGGGGCTTATAGAATTAATAGTAAAATATATTTATATCAAGGAAAATATAAAGAGGCAATTGTTTTATCACTAGAGATTTAAATAGGTTTATACATCTTAATTTACAGGAGATCTTACTGCTTTAACTAGACTGGTTCCTTATCTACTTAGAAAATTTTCAAGATTTTCTCAAAGTTCCTGATATAAGGTGTATGATTCCCTTCTTTCCTACCAGTAATTTCTTAGGCATCAGACTGTGCCAGTATAGCACAGTGATCAAGATCGTGAACTTTGATGTCAGTCAGAACTGGGTTTGAGACCCAGCTCTTTCTCGTACAAACTATAAAGATCTTAGACAAAATTAACTCCTTTAAACTTCAAATACAAATGGCAATAATAATTGTACCCAATTCACAGAACTGCTATAAGGATTAAACGGAATAGTATAGAGCATTGATCAGAGTTCATTACTTGTGGTAAATACTCTATATTATTAGTCATTAATTTACTACTGAAATTGTGTTTGAATTTTTGACCGAGTAAAATCTTCAACCCTGTTTCTGAAGTTGAAGGGTTTATTTCCAGCTCTTGAATGCAGTTCACATAGCTGCTCTCAAATAAGGATCTCACAAAGCTAAAACTCGCTTAAAACTTCTAGAGAACATTAAGTTTACGCAAGGCATCTGATTTTGAATATAAAGATGAAATTCTTAATCACACATCATTGTATTGATAAATCTAGATCCAGTCAGAAAAAAAACACAGGAAAAGTTAAAAGGTAAATTTTAAAACGATAGATTACAGATAACAAATATGGAGACATTTTGAACACTTCTGTCAAATTTCCACTTATTATTCATTGCTGTTTATCTGAAGCTCTGTTGCCTAGTTCATTCCTATTCTTTGATATCTGGAATCTCCGGGGAATTCTACTCTGCTGGTGTTTATTAGCTGACAGATTTTGTTTTGACTCTGAAGCTAAAATATGAGCATAAACACAAGGTTGTATGTCTCAGATTCTTTTTTGGTCTAATTT